CCTTAGAACCCCTGCTTTACACCTTTTGAACTCCTGCTTTACATCTTTAGTACTCCTGCTTTACTCTTTTTGAATTCCTACTTTACATCATTGGAACTTCTTTCTTTACACCTCTTGAATTCCTGCTCTACACCTTTAGAACCTCCTGATTTACACTTTTTGAACCTCCTGCTTTACACCTTTTGAACTCCTGGTTTACCCCTTCAGCCTGGCACTGCCACACTGCAGGACTGCTCCTGCCAGGTCTGCATTGGGGAAGCACATGTGCAGTGTTTGGGGTGTTTTATCCCTCCCTGGTGCCCAGCTCAGCTGTACAGCAATCAAATCTTGCAAGCTCTGGAGGAGGAAAGCCCAGCCCTGAGCAGTGCAGTAAATCTGGCTGCTCACAGCAGAACGAGGACTTCTTTGGCATAAAATAAAAGTTCTTTCWGCTGCTAAGCTCAGGATGCAAGCATTCCCCAGCAAGGTGGGATCAGGTCTGGGAGCTGAGCAAATTGTGCTGCTCTCCAGGGAGCAGCTCCACCCCAAACCACRGCCCAGCTTGGGTGCTGCTCACACAGCATGAAATGAGAAGGRACACATGAGGCAATAACCCCAAATCAAACCATAATCACAGCAGCACAGCAACTGAACCCCAGCAAACCCCAGTCCCTGCAGTCTGGGGTGTGTGAAAGGCAATGCCCACACAGCCAGAGGCCTCAAGAGTGGGGTGAGAAGCTGAGGTGGTGATGAGGAGCAGTTCCCTGAGCACGCCTCCCCCAGCACTGAAGGGAAAAGAAATTCCAGCAAAAGGCAGTGGAAGATGCTGAAGGCAACTGRGCAGGGCCAAGGGCATGGTGCTTGTCAGTGCAATCATGTCACAGCACTCCGAGGCTGAACCCACAGAGCTCAGAGTGTTCTCACCCAGCTCAGGCTCAAACACACACTCACAGACCTGAAAGATCCTCTGGAAGTGCCCCCACTCCCTCTTCAGAGGCTGCACACAGAGCTCCAAATCTGTGCCTCAACTGTGCAGAGCAACAAACGCTGCATCCGGGGCTGCTTTGCCACAGGGATTTCAGATTCCAGCAGCAAYGTTCAGCTCCTCAYGTATCCTACATGGTTATTCAGARCTTCAAATAAAATATGTGACTTTCAAAGCTGATGTGTGTGAGAGCTCCTATGGCAACACAGTTAACATCAGCTCCAGCAGGGAAAGCCCCAAAATCTGAAAAAACACATGAAAGAACTGCTCTACTTTGTGCCAGCCCCCTGCCACACATCAACCTTCCTATTAGGTCGGTCTGTGCTGCTGGATTTTTTTTTTAGCAGGATTGGGCAATATCGGGGCAAATTCACGCTCCCTGCACCCACTTCTGGGATTCTTATCTACGATTAGCCAGAAAAAAAAAATTAAAATGGAGTTTTGCTTAAGCAAAAAGTAAGAAGGGAACTTTGTGCAGACCTGCCCTTCCTCACTACTATCTCAAAAACCTACACAAACTTTGTGTCAGAGCAGGGAAGTTACTACAGGGGCAGCATGAGGGGAACTGATCACCAGGAGGTGCAACAAAATCAATTTTCTGGAACAACCAGTAAAAAAATCTTGTTCATCGTGACTTAGGGATGTCTGTGTGTCTGGTTYCCCTTCTTCCTTCAAACCTCCCTGAAAACACTGCTATGCCCTGACTCTGTCCTGACAGGCACCTGCACAGGCTGGGAGYTCGAGATGCTCTGGAAGGTGACCATTAGGGACTGCACTCTTAGGGCAAATATCCCAGTGCCCAGAAAACCAAAGGGGAGGAAGAGAATTCCAGCATGGACCACACAGAGGAAAAGCAGAATCTACACTGACTCTGTGTGTTGTCTGTATCCCCAAGGTGAATGCTTGCATCCTGAGCTTAGCAGCAGAAAGAACTTTTATTTCATGCTAAAATGAAGAAATCCTCGTTCTGCTGCCAGGGCAGCTTGCAGTTAACAGCTTCCACAGGGATGGTGTCACTCCCAGCCCAACCTGGGCTTTAATGACTGCACTGTGAGCTGCTGCTCCTATCAGSACTGAATTGCTGCAGGTTAATGGGCTCAGTGCACAGCACTCATAAAAAYGCCTCTGAAAACACCAGCACAGGCAGAGCAATCTGTTTGGGGTCCAGAACAGACAGAAAATCCAGCAGACAAATTGCCTAAAAACAAGACATTGGCTCATGAACTAACAAACAAAAAGCATAAAGGTTATTACAATTACTGCTGGCAATTGCTCCCCAGATCACACACAGAGCTGCTCAGTACAGCYTCCCTCTCCCTCCATTTCTACTCATTTTTTTTTCACCACGCTACCAGGATTTCTCTCTCAGACTCTGATYTAGCTGGAGCAAAAGCAGGGATTCACTAAACACTCCTCCAAGCATGTGGGAGAAGGTTCTTTGGGCTGCTTAGTTTTGTCCACAGTGCCTCAAAACAAATACAAATGTACAAAAAGCAAAGCATGGATCACTGGTCTTGTACCAAGCCTTCAGACCAAAGAAGTTAAAAGAATATGATCCYGGATTTTCTGTGCAGCACTTTTGGGTTGTATTTTAATGACACTTGGGAACATTCTCAGTTGGTAGCACTTKGCAAAGCTCCAGGGCAGACATCAGGGTGAGCTGCTGCCTGCTGAGAGCGTGGCTCATTGAGCCCTGCTTTGGAAATCAGCTTTTCTGCCCAAACAGCTATAAAAACGTGGCTGTCCCACCCTGGAAGTGTTCAAGGTTGGATGGGGCTTGGAGCACCCAGCACAGTGGAAGGTATCCACAGTGATGGATGAGATGAGCTTTGAGGTCCCTYYCAACCCAAACCCTGCTGTGATTCCATAGCTCTGTGAAAAAGCCACAGCACTCAGTGGTCTCAGCCTCACTCAGTCCTGGGAGGCACAAAGCACATGATCTTGGGAARAGAATGTGGTTTTTAAATTGACATCATGTTTTCCACGGCATCAAGGCAAAGATCCACCCCCAGAAAGTGCCTGCTATCTTGCTGTTCAATTCCTAATGATTTATAATTCCCCTAATAAGGGATTTGCATAAAAGCCCTGGCTGTTTTAAATGATGCCTTATTTTATGCCTTAAAAGCATGGAGCAGATTTATCTTTTACGAGTATGTCAGACTCTTTATGGCTCTTGCTTCTGCTTGAAAGCCACAGTGACTGCAAATCAACAACACTAAGCCTCCTTTTCCTGCACACAAGTGGGATAAACCTTTAGGCAAATTGCTAAGTGTACTGCTAAACCCCTAAGCCTTCATGGCATTGATTCTCACAGAGTCATAGTAATCCCCAAATCTGGTTGCAATGGCTGAAAAGTTCTCATGCTCCATTATTTTCAAAATTAAAAGTTCATTGTGAACAAGAATCGCAGGCTTTGCCATTCCCTGGAATTGTTTCTCAAGGGTTTTGTTCAWCTAGAAATGTTGGGGAAAGACCACGGTTGTCTGGAATAAACAGCACTGGARTAAACAGAACATTCCCTCAAAAGGGATAGAAGTCAGGTCATATGAAGGGCTGTTTTGAAAATCCACTCTAAATATTTATACCAAGGTAGAAGAGGCTGGTAAAGGACTAAAAGCAACAGTGGATGCCCTCAAGGAATAAATTCCCCTGAAAAGGATAAGGAGTTCTTGTAACATTTCATTCACTGGAATATTTGTTACAGRGTACTTGTTAATCTGACAGAAGTGAAAGGTTAATTATTATTCTACTTATAGACAGCAGTGAGTGTTCCTGAACAGGTTTCCAGGCAGGCAAGASATTGGAAGCACTTGGTTTGGAGAGGAGCTTTGTCCTTGTAACTCACACTCTTCCCTGGAAATCCACAGATATTAAAATCTCAGAACTGAATCACTGAATATTCTAATATTGGAAGTGTTTGTTCGCAAACTCTGTTTAAATCCTTTGCTAAAGCAAATGAGAATATCTGTCAACACTGKAAGAACAAATTTTACTGGACCTCAGAAAAAAATTACCAGGAGACCAAGAACTTGTGTACAGTACCTGAGGGTCAGGATTGACAGCAGTGATGTTACTGAGGAGGACAGAGGGGATTTCAGGGACAAGTGGGCACAGCTGGTTTTGGAAATGACTGGCCAGTTCATCTCTCCACCAGATAACATCTGGGAACCATGTAGAGGTGAGAAATGCAGAAATCTTCTGGTAAAAGCTGGATGTTCCTTGGAGATCTCCTGCAGTCTGCAAAGAGCCAGAGGTTAAAAAGCTTTGGTGACAGCTTCAGGAACTCCCTGTTTGTACCTTGCACAGCAGCAGCTCCTCCTCTGCCCACAGCCACCCCAGACTCCTGTTCCACACATTTCCCCCCGGATTCCCCAAACCAACCACTAGGTGTGACACCCTGCACCTCCCACACCACCACACCCTGCAGCCCATGCTCAGGCCATCCTCCAGCCCACAAATCCTGCTCCAGAGCAGATCCCACCATGCTCAGAGCGGGAGAAAAGGCCACAAACGGACCATAAACCAGCCCAACACAATGCAACATTAACTTGCAAAGGGTTTCATAGAGATGTAAATGAAAACAGTCATTAATGCCCCATCCCTGCAAGGCCAGAGTGGATGGGGCACTGAGCAATCTGGTCCAGTGGAAATTGTCCCTGCCCATGGCAGGGGGCTGGAATTAGATGATCTTCAAGGTCCTTTCCAACCCAAATAATTCTGTGATTTTTTTTAAGACTGAGACTAATATGATTCATTAATATTAAAAACTCCACTGCTRAATTACCATCATTTAACCTTCCCTCTAAGCCTCATTGTTCTTCAGGTTGATTCTTAATTAGCAGGACTTTCAGAGAACAAAACCAGTGACCTCCAGGAGACCTAATTAGAAATTAACAGACTCAACAATTGTGCAGAGCATCTTCTCTCCACCTGGTGCTCGAGGGAAGTGATGGTCCCGCTCTGCCCTGGTGCAGCCTCACCTCGGCTCTGGGGCAGCTCTGAGTGCCACAATATCAGAAAGATCTAAAGCTGRAGAGTGTCCAAAGGAGGGACATGAGGATGGGGAAGGGGCTGAGGAGCAGCTGAAGGCACTGGGTTTGTTCAGCTGGACAAGAGGGGACTGAGGGCAGAGCTCAGCGGTGGGAGCTCCTCCAATCTCTGCTCTCTGTGACAGGGACAGGACCCAGGGAACAGCTGGAGCTGGGCCAGGTCAGGGTCAGGCTGGAGATCAGGGAAAGGTTCTTGTGTCCCCAGAGGGTGCTGGCACTGCCCAGGCTCCCCAGGGAATGGTCCCAGCCCCGAGGCTGCCAGAGCTCCAGGAGCGTTTGGGCAGCGCTGCCAGGGATGCACAGGGTGGGATTGTTGGGGGGTCTGGGCAGGGCCGGGGGTTGGATCCATGATCCCTGTGGGTCCCTTCCAACTCAGGACATTCTGTCAATCTGTGATTATTGCACACAGAAAGGGAAACTCAGGGAGGAAAGCCCCAAATCCAATGGCAGAGAGTGGGAGCTCCTCGAGCCAATAAAGAACAAAGTGAAGGAAGGGCACGGAAAGGAGCCACAGAGCTCCACACAGGGCAGTGGGATAACTGGGAGTGCCTGGGAGATGCTCAGAGAGCAGAGGCTGCACAAATCTCATTCCCATCAGACCTGCCTGGAGCTGCAGCCTGTCTGTCTTATACGGGGATTGCAGGAGGTGTTTCACATTTGTTCAGACAAGAAACCAACCRAACCATGCAGGGATGTGCAAATCTGCCTCACTTCTAGCAGCTGCTTGGACAAGGGCAGAAATAAAAATACCCCAAACTAACCCCAAAAAGCTGATATAAAAGGGAGGAAACATAGCAGAACAGCTGAATGCAGGAATAGTTGCCACCCTAGTTGAATAAGGCAAGACTTCTTGTTGATGTGCTAAGAACAAGAGACTTTGCCTGGAGAAACCACAATTACTGTTCTATTTATAACTACTAGACCTTGGGACAGAGAACTRGAATGTGATAAATAATAGAAGATACACAGATTACAGTGAAGTGGCCAGTAAATAAGAAATCGATGGCCCAGAGCCCCCTTTTGGGGCTGAAAATGGACTCCAGGCTCCACACAKTAATATTAAAATACCATTTGTCATCATGGTTAACATTTACACATACTTAATCTTTTTTGCATAATCCAAAAAAGTAACTAAGGTTTCTCTAGATGCAACAAAAGCACCTGGAAACCAAATAAATTTTTTAAGGCAAGCCCTGAAAAGAATCTGTTCGTGCCCATGGGAGACAACTGGAACRAGAACCAATAAATGCCCCAACAGGAATTGTTATTCAATACAACCACTGCCAACCTGCACATTGACAGGACAGTGAGAGACTGAGGGCTTAGTGTGAAGAAWAAAACCCACATTTCTGTCCACAGTAGCTGAAGCTGCCCAAGGGCAGGGACAGGGGGAGACTYGCTGTCATTTTCCTCGTCCCTGCTAGGGCTGACATCCCAACTTTKGTTGTTCCTTGCAGCTCTGATCTCTGCTGGGGAGAGCAGCAGTTCTACAAACGCCTCAGGGAAGAAAGACTGACACAAGTCAGGGCTACCACAAAGGTGGAGGCTCTAATGAGAGAGAGGAAACCCAAGTCCTGTTTGGAGGAAGTGCCCCAACACCTGAAATGTCACTGCTGTGCGACAGAACTGAGCTCARAAGTTTGTCATGAGGAAGGTGGGGAGGCCCTGGCACAGGATACCCAGAGAATCTGTGGAAGTGTCCCAAGTCAGGTTGGATGGGGCTTGGAGCAGTCTGGAATAGTGCAAAGTCCCTAATTCTGGCAGGGGTTTGGACTGGATGGCCTTGAATGGCCCCTTCCAATCCAAACCACACCAGGATTCCATGATAAGGATTGGAAAAACTGCAAAGTTTGTTCCACCAGGTTGTGATTTTACCCTTTCCAGCTCCAAGCAAACATTCAGAGCAGCCTGAGCCCACAGCTCCAAAAGTCCATTCTGTGACACTGGGTGCATACCCTGAGCATCATTCAAGCTCAGTAATTCTGAGCTTTGGCCAGCYCCTCCCTGGAACCAGCAGAGAGCAACCAGGTGAGGGGACAGAGCAGGGCAGGCTCTGTCCTTCACTTGCTTTGCCCCATAGAGGAAACATCTTGAATTCAGCTGGCAGAAACCACCACTAAGTCCTTGTCCAGTCCAGCAGAGCCTGCTCTTCCAGCCTCTGCCCAGGGCTGCTCAATCACCAACAGAAAGGCTGCTCATTGTTTTGGGCTGGGTTTTTTTTGTAATGTTTTCATGGTGACATTTGGTGCCAGCATCAATCACTCGTTTCCAGGAGCAGTGGAGCCACAGCTGTCAAACTGCAGCTTTTGTGATCCATCACAGAAACTCAACCTTTGCTGCTCCCAGGCAGCAGCTGCAAGTGAAGAACACTTGCTGCAGCTGAGGAGGGGATGCTTAAGTGTGATTTAAAAACGTATTTACACATCCCATTCCGTTTAGGCTTCCCATGGTGTGTCCAGCAGGTACAATGCAGACAAAATGCTAGCAAAAATAAGAGTGGAAAATCCACTGRCAGCTCACTGAAGCCACAAGTGTTGCTTTGAGCCATTTGAGAGGAGTTTAGCAGCCTCAGCAGAGCATGGGGCAGCACTTCAGAGGTTCCTCAGGAACAGGACAGTGATTCCTCTCAGGACATCTTGGGGACACAGGGATTGCTGCTCCTCAGATCCACCTGGCTGCACTTTCCAGCAAGAGTCACCCACACTGCTCAGGTAAAACAGGTATTTATACCAGGCCAGTGGCAATAATACCTGCAAAGGTGTCTCCAAAACAGGAATGAGGTGCTCAGGGGTCCAATCTGTATCAAACCAGCTCTGTAAAAGACAGAACCAGCAGAGCAGAGCTCAGAGCTGCTATTTCACAGCTTTGCTGTGCTCAGGACATGAGTTCATATCATGTCCTGCATCACCTGTGCCACCTGTATGTGCTGCATTTGCAGCCTGTGTGCAGTTTCACTGCACAGCACAGGCTCTGGAGTTCACCAAGGAGAGGGAACAGCTCCTGCTTCCAGGCCTCRGCTCCTGGGAGCCAAAGAGTCATACAAGATTCCTCCTTCTGGACCACACTCCTCACATGAGTAAAATACAAGAGGAAAACCCGTAATAGGTGCAAAAGATGTGTCTCCTCCAAATGCAGCTAAATTTCTGCAGTGTGAGGTTACAGCTAATGAGCAACAGAGAGAAAGTGATGCCACAGAGAGCAGGTTTGTTGTCTGCACAAAATCTAAACCCAGCCTGACTGAGGACAGCTTGGGTTGGCAACTGAAGGGTGAGCAACCCTTCAGTTCCCACAGTACTGGGCTGCTCCCCCACCCCAATTTCCAGCAGCTCTTATGCTGCTCTCTCCTGCCCTGCTGGAATTTSAGCTTGGATTGGCACCTCCAGGCCCAGTGCTCAGCAGGGAGCAGCAGTGTTTGCACACCCTCTCTGCACAACTATCAGGTGTAAATGCTGCTACTCACTCCTGACTCGTGGATCTCGGGGCAGCTCGGGGCTGAAGGTTCCTCTGGAGCCACCAGGCAGGCATAGAGGGCCAAGCCTTCCTCTCTCCAGGCCTGCTGCAGCCCCACCACCTCAAATGGAGCTTTGGGGCCATCCTTCCTCTTCACAGGAGGCACCTGGAAATCCATTGGAACACAATTCCACTTTTAGATGGACTGCAAAAACCCTTTATCTTGCTCTGTTGCTTTTGAGTAGAGCCCCACAACAATCCAGGGAGCACTCTGCTTTGATTAGTAGATTAGCTGTGGTTTAGCCAGTAGAAAAATCAATAAAGACCAAATTAAAAAGGAATAACACGTTGCTTTTGATAAGTCATAGGATTTATTTTCTCAGTGAGGACTTGCAAGCTCTGTCTCCCACCAGTTTCACTGTGTGTAAGCAGGAATTCACATTATTTCYCCATTCCAGCAAGGTGTGAGCACAGAGCCCCTGTCAAGGCTGTACAGAATGTCCCTGTCACAGCAGCACCGTGTGTGCCTTTATCAGTGACARCGAGATCAATCCAACCTCAGCTCACAAATCAATGCAAAGGGGTGATTCCTTTCCAAGTGGCTGGAGCAGGCTTCTCCAAGAATCCCTTCCCCAAACCCCATCAATGCCCACCCTGTGAATCCCCCCTTAGCCAGGCTTTCTTTGTGATGGATTTTTTTTTGTGCACATGTGCGTGGGAGGCAAACATTTTGTTTTCCAGTGTTTATATCAGATCTAAACCAAAAAGGGTAAAAAGTGATTTCTGCAACCTCAAGACGTAAACTATTACTGTGCATGTCAGTTTAGATCCAGGGAGAAGGTTCCAGGACAGGCCACACCTCAGCTCTTCAGGCTGCTCAAAGTCAGGTGAAGCAATGCACTTTAACATGCAGAACACATGAAAAGCTTGATTTTAGGTTAGAAAAGAGAAGAGAGACTTGAAACAGCCTGGGAAAGCACTGGGGTGCTGCAGGTGAAAGCGGGGGAAACCAGACAGGGAATCAGCAAAGCCAGGAACAGCAGCCACGTCAGCAGAGGTGCCAGATCCAGAACATTTTCTGGATGGAGAGAAGGGCAATCTGAGCTGTAATTCTCTCCTAGGGTACTGGTGGACACAGAAACTCTTGAGTCTTGATCTCCTGGGTTTTATTATCACCAGCCTCTAGGTGGATTATCAGCTCTGAAACTGTAATACAACCCCAGACTATTAACAGGGAGATAAAGGCATTTACAAACATGTTTTAATACAGGGCCAGGCTGGATTTTGAAACTGTTGCACAACTCAAAGTGCTTTGAACACTGGATTCACCTGCAGCATCCAGAGGATCATGCTCCCAACTGGCAGCACCCAGCACAACCCCAATGAAATCAATAAGGATATGCTGATATACACAAGCCAGTCAGCAGAATTGCATGGATCACCAGATGGGAATTTGGTCTAAAAATGCCTCAACATTTCCAATTCTTTCAATTAAAGAAATGCAAACTTCTTCGTTGCTGTCCAACACCATTTCAGAGCCTGTGCGGAATAAATTGGTGGATTTTGCCCAGTTTTTCTTGGGCACAAAGTCCATGTGAAYATCTGATCCCACAGCCAGAAGAGTGACACAGCCCTGGAAGCTGAGGTACCCTTTTCAGGCTCAGAGAGAGCTGCTACCAGTCACAGCTACCAGGAATTTTTAATGGGAATAACAYGAGGGAAGAGAGCTCACACTGCAGCTCGTCACGAGCTAACGAGCCTGAATGGAAAATTCAGGATCCAGGGCTGTTCCAGTGGCAATTTTCATTAGCACTGAACTAACAGTAAAGAATGTTAGCAATGTTTTAATGGAAGCATGAACATCAYTAACAATTAATTGTGTTCAAGTGGAATTTAAGTGATTTAAGAGCCTGGTGCAGGCTGGCTGCTCAGGGTGAAATCTACCTTGACTGCATGGATCAGTGTTGGTATCCCAGAGTCTCTCCCAGGGAAAAGAATGTGGCCAATGTGCAGGGTGTGGAGGAAAAATACACACTGGGGAGGAAAAATGCACTGTTTTCCCTAAGGAATAAAGGGAAACATAGATGGGAAGGAGAGAGGATGGGGTGGTTTCCTTAGAGGGGAAAAACGTGAACCAAAGGGCAATTAAAATGAAGCAGCTCCCCACTTGTTCACTTGACTGTCAGAGAGGGTCTATTCGTACCTACAGCAAGTGGTAAAAACCAGGAACCTGTGCCAAGGATGAAGTCTAACACCCAGCAGTCACTTTTGACAACTGAGAGCCTGCCTCAACGATTTTTTACTTCTTCATAAACTACAGA